CAGGAAATCACTAATAGGCCCAGGACCTACTTCCCAAAAATAAGACATTTTTAGGAAAGGCCTAAACAGTTCTATGACTGCATGTTTACATTTTCTCCTGGGAATTCCTCCTAATTTGGGAATCACACCTCACTCAAGTTTTCCATAACAAAAGGGGATAGCCAACCTGGAGCCATCCCAACCTGCAGCTCCATAGGATCCCACAACAGTTTGGGTGGGAAGGATATTAAAGCTCATCCAGTTCCAACCAGGGACACCTCCCACCAGTCCAGGTTGCTCCAAGCCCCATCCAACCTGGCCTGGAACACTCCCAGGGATGGAAGGTACTCTGCATCCAGCTGGAGGATGCTTCTTCTCAGCAGACAATCCCTGTGGGATGAGCTCCAAGGGATTCAAGCCAAACACTGAGCTCCAGGGAGACCTCAGAGCCCCTTCCAGTGCCTCAAGGGGCTCCAAGAGAGCTGCAGAGAGACTTAGGACAAGGAATGCAGAGACAGGACACAGGGAATAGCTTCCCACTGCCAGAGGGCAGGGAGAGAGATGGGATATTGGGAAGGAATTCTTGGCTGTGAGGGTGCTGAGGCACTGGCACAGGTTGCCCAGAGCAGCTGTGGCTGCTTCAATCCTGGAAGTGTTGGGCTTGAAGGAGTCTGGGCTGGTGGGAGGTGTCCCTGCCCATGGCAGAGGGTGGGATGGGATGGGACTTGGTGTCCCTGCCCATGGCAGAGGGTGGGATGGGATGGGACTTAATGCCCCTTCGCACCCAAACCATTCCATAATTCCATGATAACTTAGGTGTTTTAAATAGCAAATCCCCAGGGGAACAAGTGCGGCACTCACCCTTTAGGATCAGCTCTCCCATGGCTGTGTTTCTGGGTGGGAACAGCTTCCATGGCCTCATCACAGCATCTGCAAAGACACGATTCCTGTATTTTTACACAGTTTTCCAGTAAAAGCCCCAAATTAAACAAAACCCTCAGAAAATCTAGAGAAAGGTGGAGGACTGGGAAACAAAGAGCACATAGAAGCAGTTCAGGAATGACAGCCACGAACATTGGGATGTACTGAGCTACACACACACACACGCGCGTGTTTCCAGATCCTCAAACATCCTAAAATCATGGATCCAACCTGGAGGTGTCTCTGTTGGGTCCCCAAACCCTTGAGGTGTCTCTGTGGGGTCCCCAAGCCCTTGAGGTGTCTCTGTGGGGCCTCCAAACCCCTGAGGTGTCTCTGTGGGGCCTCCAAACCCCTGCGGTGTCTCTGTGGGGTCCCTCAAGCCCTTGAGGTGTCTCTGTGGGGTCTCCAAACCGCTGAGGTGTCTCTGTGGGTCCCTCAAACCCCTGAGGGCTGCCCAAGGCGCCATTCCCCCATCCATTCCCCCCATCCCCT